ACCACAGAAAATTGACAACACAAAAATGTCATTTTAGCATGAATATTCAAATACAAAGCTATCTTCTGCAAAATAAATCAGAGTCCCTAAGCAGCATAATTTTGACTTATAGTATCACTTTTCAAAATGTGCTTATCTGCAATATGTCCATCTCTAGTGTGACTATCAAGCCCATCTGGTCCTTTATGTATGTTTTCTAAGAAGGTGAGTGCCTGAAAAGCAAATTGAATCATAGTGTGATGATACAATATCATTATTGTTTTCCAACACATGGTGGAGATGGGGGAAAGGACCCCAAAGTTGATTTATTTCCTCCTTTCTTCCATCTCTTTTCTTCCTTCTCCCTCATTTCCCCATTCCCTTTCTCTCCCTCCCCTCTCCTTCCACAATTTAGAGAAAGAAACAAGATAAATGACTCTTTACTCCATTTCAGGCCAAAAAGAAGACAAGGAAAAGGCTTTTGCAGAGGGAGAATAAAAAACAGAGTTGCGTGTAAAAGAATTCAGTTGCATCAAGTGAGCACATGAGGCATATACATCTGACTATTCAATGCTCTTTTGTGTTAATCACTTAAATCTAAATTTCCTTCCTCCTATTTAGGCACTCTTTATTTCACAACAATTAAAAATTACTGCAATCATGCATCTGTTCAGTATACCTCCAAGCTCTTTTAAACCTGCAGTTTTATTTTGTTCTATCTTCATAGGGCTATCTCAGAAAGGAGTGAAATGTTACTAATATCTCCCACCCTACTTGTTTTAACAGAAGTAGAATTTTTTAAAATTTTTTTAAAAAAGAACATTGGTCAATTATTTAAGACACAAAGCCATGAGAAGGCAAATCAGGATTGGAAATCATCAGTTTTAAATTCAGTATCCTCTTACCCTATATTCCTCCCCAAATATAAAATGGTATGTCTAAGACCTAGAGACACTCACACCACACAGTCTCTTATCTGAAGTCATCTCATAAAAGCCTACTCACGGCTGAAATGATTATGGATCTATCACTGGTCCATGCACTCTTGCTTTTACGACTGTTTGTTTTCCTTGCTTTCTAACACACATGCATATTCTCAAAGGCTGGTCCTAAAATCTTAGTTTGCTAACTATATCCTCAGCCATAGACTGAGGAGAGTGGTGCATCTGCATTGTGCATCTGAACATGCTGTTGTCAAAGTGAAAAGTTGGCTGGGTATCTGCAATGGGCAGAGTTCTATCCTCAGTGTATACAGAGTCTTCTGCTCAATCTAGCAGACACAAAGCGAGGTGTTGCTATTGGGATTTTTACAAATGTTATTAAGATCTGACATCTGTTGACCTCTAATTAAGAATAGAATCCAGGTGGCCTGAGATGCTCTCATGAACCTGAAGGTCTGATCTGGAAATCAAACAAGGTATTTAGGGTTCCATGCACAGAAGCTCCTTCTACAGAAAGGGACTCTCACATGGAGTAGTCAGGTGCCTCTGGCAGAGCAGAGGGAGCATGGACGATAGTCACGAAGATGGAAAACCCAGATCTAAAAATGGAGGAACTGAACTCTTCCAACAATCCTGATGAAACTTAAAAAAGACCTCAGTTTCAGATGAAAAAACAGACTGACTGATTTCTCACCACCTTGATTACAGCCTGGAGTGACTTCAGGTAGTCAGTCATGCCTGCCAACTCTTACAAACTCATACCCTTTAAGCTGCTTGTTTGCAGTTAGTACTTGTTTGATAGTAATGTAATAGAAAAATCATCCAGCAATAAGGAGTCCATTTCCTGGCACCTTTATAACCACTAATCCCATCAATAAAAAGCTTTTATTCCTACAAAGGGTCACAGACATGAGTTAATAGTTAACCCTGCCTCCCAGATCACAAAAATAGGCTAAATCATCAGTGATTTTTCGGAGTACATTGCAAGTGTCAGGAGACACAACTTATTTTCTTACAGGAGTCCTTTAGGGACAACTCTGCTTGTGTAGACTCAGCTGTTAGCGTCACTAAAACACACTTGTTTTCACGGTTGTTTTAGTTTCATCTCAAGATACTCTCCTCCCAAATTCTTATTGAGACATCTTTTTCTGTACTGTGCAGCCACTGATAGGATGCTCATTAAGAGTGACATGTCATTTATCAAAAAGCTGAGGTCCTTTTTACCCGAGAACCACTTGGGAATAATGAATTCCATCTGCCAGTGAGAAGAGAGCCTCCTAGCAGTGGATAGGGGCAGAGAGGTGGGCACTCTGAGGGAGAGGCAATGGGAGCAGAATACTCATTAGAACTGATGGGTGCTACTCCAACAAATATTTCAAATAAATGAATTATGCTTAGCCATCTATTTTTAAGATAATTTCCCCCAAATTTCAGAGGACCAAGAATCTTCAACTGTACATGATCCAATTACTTAAAAAAAAGTAAAACAAAAGAAGTCTCAAAGAAATTAGGAATGAATGTGAGAATGTGATGAGGTCTCACACCTCAATGGCAGAAGGGAGGAACCAGAGACACTGACTTCCAACCAATTCATCCTACTTAGATATTTAGTTTTTCATTCTAAAGCATCTTCTAAAACTCTTCCCAGGCTACATATACATCTTTTGTTTTGAGTTTTTAAAAGCTCTTGATTTATGATTTCCCATTGCTAAATGTATTTTTAACCTATCCAGAAAATGGATACTTTGAGAGAAAATATACAGAAGCTAAAGAATTAAAGAACTCCTTCTTTTCTTGTGGAAATGTTCCACATCACTCCTCCTTCCTTCCACTTCAAATATGAACAGAGAGCCCACAGGGAAGACAGACCCAATGACATTTTTTCTGCTTCAACTGTGGACTTTACCAACAAGGTGTCAGAACATTTTATAAAATGCAGTTTGAGCGATTACTCAAACTGTTCTGTTCTTTCCAACTTCCTGCCTGTATGAAAAACTCACTTAAGATCACACACACACACACACACACACACACACACACACACACACTCACTCACTCACACACCCCTAGAAAATATAATACTATACTACTGTCTTTTGATAAAGCAGCACACTATGGCTTTTGAAAAGTTAGAAGGCTTTCAGTTTGCTGTAAACTTGAGAGCATATTTAAGGGAACAGGATGCAAGAGGTCGAACAAAGGGACTTCCCTTGGATTCCATTCACCCATGGACACACTATGCTCAGCCTAATGGGTGCTTGATTGGTGGACACTTATTGCCAAGGAAATTGATGTCTCTAAATATTATCAGGTAGCCAGAATGATGGGTAAAGTCTATAGCTGGTTATCAACATTAGACTCTATGTGCAATCTAGGAGACATTCTGTTCTGGGCTGCAGGGGTGATGCCAGTCTGAGTTGAACTGGGAACAAGACAAACAAGGGGCACACCAGATATGAGGCGACACATCTTATCACATTAGATAGCAGAGAATAGATGTGCTCAGTGAGGTACAGGCCTCATACTTTTCCAAGAACTCTTTTAAATTGAAGGTAGTGATAGAAATCAGATTTGCAATGTTTTAAAGATCTGTTTCCTTCTGTGCACATTATTTCCTTCTTTGCCAAATAGACATGTGCTCAAATCCCTACTCAGTTCCTAAATAAGCCATGCTAAACTAAGAAACAAACTGTAAAAAAGCCTAGTACATGCACCCACACACACACATTTTAAGAGGAATTTTTGGCAGTGAAATAGATTGTGGTAGTACTTATACATTTTGCTATACTATTAAAATTACAAATGTTATCTACCCATCAAATTTTATTTGTATCTATTCACCCATACATGCATTTATCAGTCTTCTCACTTGCCAGTAGAAACATTTCAAAGGCCCCACGTTAAAAAGATCACATTTGACATTATGAAAGTGTTGTGTTGTTTCTAAAAGTATTTTTTATGGATATATACATTCACAGTAAGAGGCTGTGAAATTAATATAGATTAATACTGAAAATAAAATTTTAGGGGCTGGAGTGATAGTAGAGTGGGTACGGTGTTTGCCTTGCACAGAGACGACCTGAGTTCGATTCTCAGCATCCCATATAGTTCCCCGAGCACCACCAGGAGTAATTCTTGAGTGCAAAGTCAGGAGTAACCCCTGTGTATCACTGCGTGTGACCCAAAAACCAAAAAAGAAAAGATCAAATTTTGGTCATCCACCTAAAGATTACAAGAATTTCCCTTTCACTGAAGGGTGAAAGAATAAGTGAACCTTAACTTACTCTTCCTATTACCCACATAGGCACACATACACAGCTACAATAACACAAACATACCCAGCACACACACACACACACACACACACACAAAACACACACAGAGGCATAGACACATTTTATCAAGAAACAAATTGCACTCCTTTGCCAATAATGAGGAAGATATATGGTTCACTGAGCTTTCTTCACACCTATTTTACGACTGAAAAATAAAACTTTCCTTCTGGATCTTTCCATTGATATCCAGAACACAGTTAGCTAGTGATAATGAAATAATATACTGCTAATTAAGAGTCCAAAATGCTCTTATTTCATAAAACAATTACAGAAGTACAACCTCTACAAATTTATCTTTGAAAGTACTCAGTTAACCAAGCACAAAAACTGAGCATTTAACCACCAATGTTAGTTTAACCTTTTCACTTTTCATAACGAAAGAAACGAGACTCACGGAGTTTAAATGGCTTTTAAATGTAATTGTTTGCAACTTGATCAAGAATGTAGTCTTACTGACAATCTAATCTGCTAACATTTAAAACTAAAAATACGATTTCTTTCTTTAATGACAAGGTTTCACAAGAACTACAGACAAATATTCCTAATGAAAACAAGCTGCTGTTCTGATTACTATTATCTTTTGGTGCTTATTTTAAATTTTTTTGGCAAACACTAAAACCATCAGAAAACAACAACATGCACTTGCTTAATGCACAAACACTTTGGAGCAGCCAAAGGACTATTAGAACCGGGGATAGTATATGGGTTTTATCAGCTTTCTCATTTCACGACAATGGTCACACACCTTAATTTTTCCGTTCCAGCTTTGTACCTTGAGATTCGAGCCATAGACAGAGGAACTGACAAGGTGTCTAGCCAGCGCTTCTCATATTTTGGTTCATTAGCTATGGGCGAGGAAGGTGATGATGGAGCCTGTGCAAAATAAATGAGAATCAATAGTCATAGAATCAGTCAGGGAGTACCGCACGCAAGGAGAGGCACCCCTAGGCCCCTGGAACACCATGTCCCATAAAATTAAACCATTTTAACTGTTATAAAGGCAAGGTGAGAAAAAATTTCTCAAAGGTCTAGAAGGAAAGAAATTCCCTTTTATTTGAGCTTGAAATTATTTTTTTCTTTTTAAACAAAATATTGCACAGAATAAAAAAAATAGAGAAAAGTCAAAAGAAAGGGTCTGGAAGAGAGACTTAAATTGGTGAAAAAGTTAAGAGACATGTGATAGGTACTGAGCCAGCAAGAATGCATGAAAGAGGTTCCCATATCAACCTTATAGCTGATAACCAATTTAGTCCAAGCATCAATCAATCAAGAACATGCACAACTTTCTAATGGCTAGCAAAATTACAAGTTCACTCTTCTTCACTAATGACAAGTACACCTCTATTTTTTCAAATAATGTGAGCAGACAGGAAAGCCAGTGGAGTAGAGGATAAGTCACCTCTGAGCAGGGACTACAGGTAAGAAAATGAACTGGTCTACAAGCATTTGCAACAATGTCACCACATACTAACATTTCCCATACCTGTCCAAGCAAAACATGTGTAAAAACAGGATGCTTGCCATCCCAATGTTCCTGTTCTAGGAAACCAGGAAAAGCCCTGAATATTTTTCCTATAGGGGCCAGCGCAGAGAAGATTGCTGGCCATAGCACAGGTAGCTTGGTGAAAGTCACCAAGCCTCTATCCACCTAGAAGCATTGACCTTCCCAGTTTCAGTGGCAGAGGACATAACTAGAACCAGGTACAAGTCTCAGAACCACAAATATGAGTGAACCTTGAACATATGACTTTAGAGCAGGACCTAGTCACAGAACATTCTGTGCTCATACACCAAAGCAGCCATGCCCAGCAATATGTTCTACCTTTTTTTTAATCTACCCCTGTATTTGGCAATTATCATTTAGAATTTAGCAAATGATTTTATTGATGAAAACGAGCATGCTGGGTGGTAATAATAAATGTTAGATACGGGTCCATTTAGGAAAATTAAAGCTATTCAGGAAATATGGGTGAAACAAAATATCTTAAAGCTACTCCCCACTTGAAGAATCCAACAAAGATGAGAAACTGTCCAGATGGTGATATTTCCTTAGCTCAAGTTCTTGAGGAGTCTTGAGTCTCAATTGTCGGAGACAAAATATAGGATTAATGGCATCAGGTTCTAAACCCTGGAACCTGTGTAGGTCTCCTTTATATTTGTAGATATAATTAAATTGAGGATATTAAAAGAACAAAGTTTACCCTGGATTACAGAGACATCATATATGCTAACACGTAAATATTTAAAGGAGGGGGATAGATTATGGAGGCTACTGTGTGAAGAAGTGGCAAAGTGGGTGACTGGGCCATAAAACAAAAGGAACTGCAGGTAGATGCAGGAACCATCCCAAAGCCTATGGAGAAACAGGGTAAGTCCTGCAAAGTTATTATTTCAGACAATAATGAACTGGTTTTCTTCCTCTCCTAGCATTCTTCATTTAAATGTATCCAGTCTATGATCAAGAAAACAAAAGCAAAATATTGTCCCACTGGAGGTTTGTGCTAATTTGATGTTTACTCACAGTCACTTCTTGTTATATGTTCTAATATCTGTAAAAAACATTTGCTCTTTTAATGTGGATATGATCACATAGTTGTAAGAAACACACATTTATTATTTTATACTAGTATTATCAAAACACTCATTTGTCTATACATTCTACGGCTACCTGTATAAAACATATTATAATGTAACATTCATTGCAATGTGACTTCAGACATCAATTTTTACTGAATTCTACTACCAGTATTTATATTCACTTACTCATTTATGGTGTAGCTCAGTACTACTGATGCTGGTGTGTGTTGCTTTTTCAGTTCAGTTAACTTCTTGTCACTAATTCATACAGGCTGTCTATGGCATGCTATCAACATTCAGTTATTAGAATAACACTGTCAAACCTCAACTTAAAATTTCACTGTGGATTCTAGAATATAAATACATTTAAATGAATAAAATTACATGTATTATTCTTTTAATCATTTCAAATTAATTTTTAATACAGTCTAAAGAAGCAATTCCCCACAAAGAAAAACCATTTTTCCTTTACAAAATCAGGTTGCATTTCACACCCCTTTGGGCAACTTTAGCTTCAAACTCTGTCCTTTTGAAGGAAGCTTTTCTCTCCCTTTGCCTTGAAGTGTTTCTCACTTGGGGGCCACTGTAAGCCAAGAGTTTCATGTCAGATTCAACAAACATTTCCTCTGGAAAAAAATAACAGCATTATCCAGAGCACAATTTAGAGAAAAGTATTCTAAAATCATTTGGCTGCAAAATAGCATCAGGTTCAGAAGTGTTTCCTCAGCTCAGTGAGTTTCTGTGACATGTCAACATTCCCATCAGGTACCTTGGATGAAGCTTCTGGAATGGCAAGCCCAAGAGGGTCAAGAACAATGCCTCAGAGAAGTAGAGTCAAAAACCCTCTATTGCAGAAAACCCCTGCACCCTTTTCCCTCTGTAAACACTGAAGTGCATCCCACAGACCTACAGCCCATGATCTCTGTTATAGCTGATCCCATTCAGAGCAGATGTCTTACAACTGAGCAAATTCCAATCTAGGAAGTTCAGCTGCAGAGAGCAGAAGTTCATTGCCCTAATCTTAGCCCCAAAATATCACACCAGCTTAATATCTTGAGGAGCAGGCTCCCACTAGCATGAATGACAGACTACAGCTGTTTTCGGCAGTTCCTGGGGCTTTGCTGCACACAGGAATGCTGGCCACAGGTGATTTGCCTGCTGCAGCACCATCTACCAACCACCCTCCACTGCCCTCATGAGCAATGTCAGATGAGGGGAGTGAGAGCATGTTTTTTTCCTTTTCGATGTGAGATCTTGTAAAAAGTTGCCACAGAGGAAGAGAAAAAAATGACTGTTCTGAAATGTGGCTGACCAAATTACAGGAAAAACGTTTGCTCTTTTAGTGTGGACATAATCACAGAACTGGAAGAAACACATATTTATTATTTTATACCAGTATTTTTAAGGACTGGAGTGATAGCACAGCGGGTAGGGCGTTTGCCTTGCATGCGGCCAACCTGGGTTTGATTCCTCCCTCTTGGAGAGCTCAGCAAGCTACTGAGAGTATCCTGCCTGCATGGCAGAGCCTGGCAAGCTCCCAGTGGCATATAACAAGTCTCACAATGGAGATGTTACTGGTGCATGCTCAAGTAAATTGATGAACAACAGGAGAACAGTGCTACAGTGTTACAGTATTATTAAAACACTCACTCCTCTCTACCCACTACTGCTACCTGAATGATGAGATACCATAGTTATTCTGAACTGAGCTCTAGATCAAGCTGGAATAGTGAAGCTTACTACTCTTGGCCTAGGACACAAAGACCACACAAGGACAGTGCAGGAAGGCTGAGAGAGAGCACATCTCTCTCCAGTAAAGTTAAAGGTAAAGGCCCTCCCGTTGTTCGTTGATTTGCTCGAGCGGGCCCAGTAACGTCTCCATTGGAGACTTTGTTGTTACTGTGTTTGGCATATCAAATATGTCACGAGGAGCTTGCCAGGCTCCGTCGTGCGGGCGAGACTCTCGGTAGCTTGCTGGGCTCTCCGAGAGGGGCGGAGGAATCGAACTCGGTTCGGCCATGTTGGCTGCGTACAAGGCAAACGCCCTACCACTGTGCTATCACCAGTAGTGAATCTATATGATGTTTTGCTGCTTAAAAGTCTAGGTCATTCTGAACTTAGTGAGTCATCTTGGATGCATGCATCATCCTCTATTTCCTGAAAGACTTTCTGAAATTTACATGCAATTTCTTTGATAGAATTCACCAAGTAAAAAATAGTTGCGATTTCTCCAAACCCATATGGTCCTAAACAGTTTATTCAAGACCAATGTGGAATGGTCCCATTGACATTTGTGAGATTGGTTATTCTGCAGAGTAGGTTTCTGCAAACTCAACAGCTTGGCTAGCTCTTCTCTAGCCTTGCTCATGGTTTGTCTCCTGTCCTCTCAGCTTCTGAGCAGAGTGTTAAAAATTCCAAATATGGTCTTAATTTTTTTCTATTTATTTTTCTCTCTCATTACTGCTTTCATGTATTTGGAAATACAGTTATTAGGTGAATCATACCATATTGAGGAGTGTGGTGTTTTCCTGTTGAATGAATTCTTTAGTCAAAAAAGCAAAGTTCCTTTTTGTTTTCAGTGGAATTCTTATTTTCAAATTACTTCTTCATAATTGATTACCTCTCCATGATTCATAATTACAATATATAGAATACATGTCCTCCCTCTATGCCCATCTCTGAATTTCATACATGTTAATGTACAAAAACAAACGTGAAGCTGGAGTTTTCTTTTTATTTCAATTTGACAACTTCTATATTTTATTTATATATAGACCATTTATATTTAATGTCATGTCACATGATTTTATGTAACATCGGTGAGTTCAATTACATATTCATAATTTGCTTGCTATTCGTGTTTCATAGTTTTCTCTGCTGTTTTCTCCTCCATTGAATATATTCTTAAATTTTTAGAAAAAAATTTAATTTTTTTTGAAAACACTGTTATTTACAAAGTTATTCATAGTTGAGTTCTGGCATACTGTGTTTCCAGCACCAGGCCCACCATCAGTGTCAACTTTCCTCCATCAACATCTCCTAGTTCCCATATAACCCCCTCCCCAACCTCCAGTATGCCTCTTTAACAAGTAGGAATTATTATAAGGATTCTTAACTTATCAGTATTTTATTTTATTAATATTGAATCATTTAGAACTTTATATCTGATGCATTAGCCTTTCTACAATTCTCAAATACAAACAACTTCACAACTATATTTCAATTTATTGATATCTATTCTGTGTTTTATTCTTGCTGCATATTTTTCCACATATATTATCAATTTCACTTTGTGA